CACTTTGCAATATTTGGTGTTAAGTAATATGTCTTATTCCCAAACCATCCCTGATAATATAATTTAATATAATTTACTATACCTTTTAGGAAATAAGTACGATTATACAAAAAATTAAAATGGATGTCCCATAATGCCAAACTATCAAACAATAGACTATCTTTTTATCAATTTTTGCTTTGATTTACTCACATATTTAGAAAAGAAATATTTCCTGTCCTAAAGAGTTTCTCAGATTCAAATGAAGGAAAATGTCCATAAAAACAAAGAACTATATAAGCAAAATTTAAGCCTCAGAGACTATTGAACAGATAATAATGAAATAGTTGACTGGTAACATTTCATGGCATTGACCCATCAATTTATACATTTCTTGAGTACTTTTTAAAAAATACATTATCATCTGTAGTCCTGAATTTGTTTTTCCTAACTAGCTGAAATTTTGTACCTTAAGTGGTTTGCATTTAATTCTGAAATTATAATTCTTACTACTAAAATATTGATCTACCATGCAAATTGTTTCATATTCATTAGTGACCAATCTTTGTGCTAAATACTAAAAGCATAGGTAGAGAATAAATAAACCAAATCGAAAGCCATTTATGTTAATCTCTTGAAAGACAGGCATGGAGATATGGTGCTACATTGCTTGGCAATAGTACTAAATGAAATGTCTATGTAAAAGAATTTTGCTCATCTCTGACACCAAAACATTATTTTACTGTTTTTGAGTTGACTGGTTGCAAATTAAGTTTTTTTTTTTTTTTTTTCTTAATCAGGAGGCCAGTGATCACATGTCTCATTGGCAGATACTCATTTTAGAGAGTTGACTTCATTATCCTGAAAAGCACTGATGGCTGTTGTAAGCAATGACCATGCAGCAGTGTTCACTGGAGACAAAATGCTGTATGTCTGTTGTTTTCCATACACTTTTATAAAGTGTTGAAACTCATGCATTTCCATATCTGCTGGATCACAGATTTTGTATTTTTAATTGGAACTTTCTGATTTGGGCTGACAGATCAGATATGACTGTAACTGCTGAGCTCTTTCCATAAACTAGATACCATTTTGAGAGGCTTTTCATTCAGTCTAGCCAGTATGCCAAACAGGTAGGTACTATAGTTCAGTGTTCGCAAATGAGACTATTGACACATGGAGAGATTAAGTGACTTTCACAAGGTCACATAGCATATGAGTTGCAGGGCAAAGATTTGAATTCAACTCAATATCTGCAAGGCATGATCTTAACCTTTGTACTATACTATATTGTATAAAGATGTTTATTAAATGTGCACATAAACATAAGCATGAATGGGATCTGACAGAATATCTCAGTGGAACACTTTGAAAAGTACTTGAACTGGGATGAATTGTCATTGTGGAATGTATTTTGATTTTTCACAGACTATTTGTGTAAATCTATCTTGTATATATATGTTGTATATGTATTAGCTAGATAATATAGCAGAGAGATGACCCTATTAAACCAATGTTAAGTATTATATAATCATAAGTATTTTAATTTCGCTTTTGTGAGGTTGGTGATATTTGCTATTCTTTTACTGTTACTTTTTATTACATGGTGTACCAAAAGGAAGAATTTTTTTTTGAGGGGGGTGCAGTAGGCTTTATTGATGGTATACAATGATTTAGGGCTCCTTAGGTCCCTTCCCTTCTCTGGGGGGTCTGGGATAGATGCTGGGTGAAGGGGAGATTCTCAGTGTTGGGGCTGAGTGGGCAGTGACTTCTACGGCAAGGCCTCATCTCCCTCATGGTCTCACTGGACCATGGGTAAGGTCTGGCTTACTCCTTGGAGGTCCACCACCCTGTTGCTGTAGCCAAATGCATTGTCATACTAGGAAATTAGCTTGACAAAGTGGCCATTGAGGGTGATGCCAGCCCCAGGGTCAAAGGTGGAAGAATGGGTGTCACTGTTGAAGTCACAGTGCACAACCTGGCACAACCTGGTCCTCGGTATAGCCCAGGGTGCCTTTGAGGGGGCCCTCTGATGCTTTCTTCACCACCTCCTTGATGTCATCATATTTGGCTGCTTTTTCCAAGTGGCAGATCAGATCCATGACGACATATTAGGTGTGGGCACATGGAAGGCCATGCCTGTGAGCTTCCCATTCAGCTTGGAGATGACCTTGCCCACAGCCTTGGCAGTGCCAGTGTATGCAGGGGTGATGTTCTGTGGTGTGATGGTCAGCACCATGGCCATCACACCACAGCTTCCCAGAGGGGCCATCCACAGTCTTCTGGGTGGCAGTGATGGCATGGACTGTGGTCATGAGTCCCTCCACAATTCCGAATGTGGATGTTTTTGGCCAGCAGGGCTAAGAAATGGTGGTGCAGGAAGCATTGTGGAAAATCTTGAGGGAATTGTCGTACTTCTCGTGATTCACACCTATCCCGAATATGGGCAGCAGCAGCAGAAGTAGAGATGACCCTTTTAGTACCTTCAAGTGAGCCCAAGCCTCTGGTGGTGAAGATACCAGTGGACTCTACCACGTAACTCGGCACCAGCATCACCCCACTTGATCTTGGTGGGATCTCGCTCCTGGAAGATGGTGATGCCCTTTCTGTTGGTGGCTTCCTATTCTCAGCCTTTACGGTTCCATGGAACTTGCTGTGGGTAGAATCATACTGGAGCATGTAGACCACGTAGTTGAGATCAATGAAGGGGTCACTGATGGCTACAACATCTACTTTGCCAGAGCTGAGAGCAGCCCTGGACCAGGCACCCAATACAGCCAAATCCATTCACTCCAAGCTTCATGGTATCTCGAATTGCAGCTGGCACTGCACGGGAAGAACAGCTATCAGTCAGGCACACAGGAGCAAAGAGCCAAGCAAGAAGTTACTGAAAATGGTTTTTGACTAGTTTTACATGATTTTTAAATTTCTTTAAAGTAAGTTGGGGTAGTGGTACCAATTAGTGTTTTTGGAATGCCAAGAATTATATATTATTCATCCCTTAATTTCAGGACAGTGTCCAAGATGACAACTGATTCATAGTCTTTGTCTTGGCTTACTGATTTCCTTGTGGAATCTGGAGAAGAAAACAAAGAGGAGGAAATCTAAATAAATATTAATTTTCATCAAAGTGGCTGCCTCTAGAGGTTAAACAGCGAGTTGCTTTTACTAGAAACTCAGAATAAAAGCTTTCAAAGTCAGTTGTTGTTGGGAGATAATTTTCTAAGGTTGCCCCATATTTCTCTGCATTTTGTAAGTTAAGGCACTGAGTAACTTTGTATTGGCCCATCTTTTTGAGAATGTCTGTAAGAAAACAGCTAGAAAATAGATAGTGTCTCCTTCATAGGAAATAGAGGCTTTCACCCTGTCCTATATAATAAAAATAGTCCTGTCAAGTGACGGACAGTGATGCTTACTACCCACTAAGAGAGACTGGGGCTCCCTAAGCTCAGGGTTCCTGGCCCATGTACAACTCACTGTGCGCATACATCTTTTGACTTTCTTCATATTGCGCTTGGAGCATAAGAAAATGACATATCCCTTGACAATTTTTATTGCTTCAAGTAATAAATTCCTTTGTGTCTGCCTTCTACCAGCATCTATAAGACTGTGGCAGGTTCACCTGCTAGTTTCCAAGTAGAGTAAAATCTCACAATTTTCAAAGTTCTTGACATTTTTTTATAAAGTTGTATCATAGATTTTCACCTCAATATACAGTGAGAAATTTATGAATTCCTTTTAGAGGAATAGATTACATTTATTTGATCTAGGTCCATCAGGGACAAGGCATATGGCCTGGTCATTTGAGATATCACTAGAGACAGGTATGCTTTGGTCATTCAACAGAGTGACTGTGCAGCTGTTAGTCTCTGTCTATCTCCTTTTCTTTGTTCCTCCTCTCTTCATCTTTTTTTTTTTTTTTTTTTTTTTTTTTTTTCTAATCAGTACCGGGGATCGAACTCACGACTGCCTGCTTGCAAGGCAGGTGCTTATGCCGCTGAGCTAAATCCCCAGCCCACGTCCTCTCTTCTTATTCTTTGCCATGAATTTCCCTTCCCCTACGTTTTCCTTCCTCTTGTTTTCCTTCAGAAGTTTCTGTATCTGTCATAGATTTCCTTCAAACATTATTTTTCAGATGCAAACAAAAAACTTGGAAATTTTTTAAAACAAGTATCTTCTGACCTGTGCAGGGCCTGAAGATATTTTTCACTACCTGGTAGAAGTAAAAGCTGACAATAATTTTACCATATGTATTCCTTTCTGCTGTAGGCAGCTGACTGGGGTCAGGGTAAATTTTTACCCATCAGCATCTTTCAGCAGCAGACTGGAAAAATGCTCCTGATCCTTGGGGGGAAGTTCTGATCAAATGAACTATAATTCTATACTGAAAGGAAAGAATATATATATATATACATATATATATATATATATTTAAATTCCCCACAGTGATTCTATTTTATGTATTCCAAACATATACTAATAAAAAGGGGAAACAATAAAACTAATAATAATAATAAAATCTTTTTGTATGTTTGGATTAGTTTTTATCAGAAGTCAGCAGTCTATGCCCTGTGAACCAGCTCTGGTCTAGTGCCTTTGAGTGTGCATGGACATTTCATTGGAATACACTCACTTCCACTCATTTACATAGTGTATATGGTTGCTTTTGTATTCGAGACACAAATAAGTAGTTGCAATAGAGGTTATATAGCCTGAAAACCCAAACTATTTACTTTCTGGTTCTTTAGCAAAAAATAAAAAGTTTTCCGGCCCCTTGGGTGTAGATATTAGGTTTCATACTGGTAAGTCTTAATTTCTGGTTGTGTGGGAAACAAAAGATGCTCATTAGAATAAGCTAAACAGGTTTTTCTAAAGGTACATGCCTCCTCACCTCTACCTTCACATATTTCCCTGTTCAGAGTCACTGTCTTTTAACTGATTATTCTAATTAACTGACACAGAATGGTTTTTTTCACTATTTTTGAGCCACTGTGATATTTCTCATGCTGTTTCTTTTTCAGGGTTGTGGGAAGAAAATGTACTCCTTTTTGAGAGGAACCAAACAACTGCAAGTGCTTAGATTTTTGGGGATCTCCATTGGAGTGACACAAATCCTGGCGATGATTCTCACCATTACTCTCCTCTGGGCTCTGTATTATGATAGAAGAGAACCTGGGGCAGACCAAATAATGTCCCTGAAGAATGACAATTCTCAGCACCTTTCATGTCACTCTGTAGAACTGTTGAAACCAAGCCTTTCAAGGATCTTTGAACACACATCCATGGCAAACAGCTTTAATACACATTTTGAGATGGAAGAATTATAAAGATTGTCCAGGAAGGAAACTACAAACTTGTTTTGTTGGACTTGTGAATTTTCGAGTAACAATTATCTGTTTCAGAAATTTTTAGACTTAAAAATACTGCCATAAAATAATGTGTAGGCATCTAGCTTTATACTCTTTAAAATAAAGAGGGGAAAGTTTCATGTCACCACTTGGACAATAATTGATTCCATTTATAGTACTAAGGCAGATCTAATATCCACTTTATAGCCTGTGTAAAGTTTTCACTGCTAACAGTTATGTTTGAGGTGGCATGATTTGATCAACATTTCTGCATCTATGTAAATGAGCCACATACAGTGGATTGTAACTACACTGAAGGTTGATTTACTTCTACAGGCTAGTATAAAAATTATCAATTAACCATTAACATAGGAAGCTATACAGTACTAATGACTTTAATTTCTTGGTGATATATTCTTTTGAGGGTGACTAGATTATACATTATGAACACTTTCAAAATTGGTGACTACCTAAATGTGATCTTTGCTGGATTCTAAAATATTCTTATCATTTACAAGAGTAGACTAACTCATTGTCTTAAACTGATCAGGGATGTGTATGTATATGTCTGCGCTAAGTCTGTATAATTCAGTAGCTTTGAGTTCTCACTAGGTTAAGAATCACATTTGTGAAATGGATAAATTCATCCTGTATAGAACCATTGTGTTAGTCTTTCTCATTAAGACAACTTTTAAATTCAGTCTTGGGTCTGTATTACATTTATAACTCTTAATTTCAATACCACTGATTTGGCAATAACCATTGTGATACATAGAAATCATTAGGAGTCTAACTGTAGGCTGGTCTTTAGGAGTTATTGACAAGAAAATTTATACATATCTTAGTTGATTCAGCACTTAGATACTGTTTGCCTCCCAAATGAAGCCTGTGAACACTGTTTTTTTAAAACACTTTTTAAAAAGAATTTATCTTTGCCTTTTTCAAAAGGAAGCAACAGTTTCCAAGTCAGTATAATTCTATAAGTAGTATTCTTTGTCTCCAGAAAAATGTTGGTTAGGATCATTGAAGTATCAGTTTAACTAGAGATATTATCTTTGCTTTATCTCACGGATTAATATGCTGTGGCAAATTATACAGATTATTAAATTTTTTACAAAAGTAAAATATATTTATTTGAAATGGGAAGAGTGCATTTTACTGTATTTTGTGTATTGTGTTTATTTCTCAGATCATGGAAAGAGAATTACAAGTGTCAATAAATATTTTCTAGACAGTAATAATTTATGCCTATTTTTTATATATGACAAGTGCCTTTACCCCTTAAAAAGATTATCAAGTGGAGAAAAACATGAGAAAGGATGACTGAATAAAATGCTAATGATTTCCAAACTTTGGAAGCAATCTGGGCAAGTATTTTCCCTGAGAATAGACAAAACAATTCTGGTTAATTTTTCAAGTTTGTGGTTTAGCTAAAAACTATAGTTTGATAAGATGTAAAAGTATACGCTCTTACAGTGTGTTTGTCTCCTTGGCATTTTTACATCACAATTTGCTATTATTTTTAAAGGAACATAAATCCATCTGGGCATGGATTCCCATGCTTATAATTCCAGTTACTTGAGGACTGAGGCAAGTGGAAAGTTTGAGACCACGATTCAAGGCCACTCTACATGCAATATTTCAACTTGAAATTACCTGCCAGATTTTAATCTTCCATAGATTTACATGAGTAATAAATTACTGGATCAATCAAAAATAATCCCTTTTAATAGTTTCTTCAGTTCGCTATAATTCTACCCACAAAACCCAAATAACGGAGTTATGAGTTTTATTTGAATTATGTTTGTGTAAGTGTAGGCATATCTCTTGATGTGTCTCACAGTTACTGAGAACAAGCAGCTTAATAAAATTTTTTTCAATTATAAAAGTTGCTTTGTACATTTTAGACTAGATATTTTGATATATCATCTGATTTACTACCCTCTAGAATAGTGAACGTAAATTTAGACAATCATCTGGTGCATAATACATTTGCTTAATGGGGACAAATGATATTCATAGTGGTGGTCCACAAAGGCCTCTTATGGTACTAACACACCTGGAATAATAAAGCTGTAGGGAACTCTAAGAAATATATTTAATGCTGGATTGCTGAGGGAGCTTGATGTTTGGGTGTATTGCAATCAAATTTTAACTATTTCTTTGAGAATTTTTAAAGCTTTTTTTTTCAGTAAAAATCACCATTTTTTAAAGTAAAAATGTAAGAAGATATTTTTAGACTCATTAACAGGCAATTCAAAGTGCCCTGGAGACTTAGAACTAGCAATTAGAAATGATGCATGTTCTTACGCCCTGTAAAGTCTGAGTTAGGAACAATTGTGATAGCCACAGGAAAAATAAATAAACATGCCATGAATGTTCTTAAGAAGACAAGACAGAGGAAAGTGGAATTAAAGCAATTACATTGAGGAAATGACCTTTAAATTGGGTCAAAAAGAGAAGTAGAGAGTAAGCTAATTTCTGAAGAACTTTCCATGAGCTATGACTCTAAGGTTAAAAACGTGCACTATTTTAGGGACAGAGGTTGTGTAGTTAGTGTAGTTAGGGAGAACACAGAATACCAGAAAAACACCATAAGCAAGGACATGGAGAAAATTTGGGTTTGAGGATTCATTCTGTAGGTTCAGTGGGGATTCCTTAGTGTTTTCAGGGAAAGAATATGATTGCTCCAGACATGTCACTAGATTAGCCAAGTAAGAATCTGGGCACAGGGAACCAGGTGTGCCCTTTGCATGACTCCCCAGGGGTGACCATCTTTTCCTGTAGTCTAAGTAAATGGAGAAATTGTGCTGTCCAAGTGGAAGGTTGGATAGACTGCTCTTTCTGTGTACCTGTAGAGGGATAAAGAGCCCCAGCAGGACAATGGAAGCCAAAAAGCAGAGTGTGTAAAACAAATCCCTACTGGCTGAAACTACAAAAATTGGCAACATATTGACCTTGAAGAATAAGGGACAAAAAGTAAAAGCACTGAAATCTGTAGATTTTGTTCTGAGAAAACCGGCAATGCCATTAATCTAGATAGAAGGCTGGAGCAGAATGAGTGTGTGGGAGGGTAATTAATTTGGTTTGGGATCCACTGAGTAAGAGATGCCTGCAGGACATACAGATGGAGATGTCTACAGGAGCTGTAAATTTCAGGCTGGGGCTCCAGAGAATTCACTGTGGAGCTTGAGCATTTTTATGTATTGTATTCCCATCTCAGGAAGCTTGACAGAAAATGGGCTGAGAACCAAATCTCCAATGAAGCTACTCTTAGGCAGGATACTTCAAAAGTTTCTTTTTATCTGAACTCCCACTCCTACAAATGAGTCAAAGTGGTAAAGAAAGACAAATGGATAAAAAAGAAACAAAGTTTTTTAAATAAGGAGGGGAAGAGAGATTAAAGGGGAGGAACAAAATATCAACAAAATAAAAATGTTTTTAAAAAGCTAAAAAAAAAAAAAGCCCCAGAAATGACAAACGAAGGCACTATTGAATCTTCCATTGTAAAAGGAGCAGCCCCTGTTTGAGAAAATGCTGCCAACTGCTATCCTGCTTCATCTAACGTCTTTTATTATCGTTCTGCAATTTAAGCTAATTCACCTCACCTATGAACTAAGTTCTTGCTCCCTTACTTCCAGGAGTATCCTAGAAACAGGTACAGGAAAATCTTTGATACCTTCTTGAATATTTATTCCTTTCTTATTTTAATATGTTAATTAAAATCAATAACTTATGCATTCATGGTTCCTGTTACATGATAGACACACATGCAAAGTGCTTTGTGTATATTTCCTCTGCCCTTTACAATTCCTTTGCAATTTGTAGAAATCTTAGGTCCCATTTTATAAATGAAAAAGACTTAGATTTAATTAGTACATGTGAACACTCGGAGCACTCTTACTTCCTCCTGATCCACTTTGTAATTCACATGGTGAGGCTCAGTTGATTCCTTATTCAGAAAAGCCAGATTCTCTTACATATGAATCAGTACCTCCAGGTCAAACTGGTAGCCACATCCTACAACTGCTTCCTTCAAAGTAACGCTTCTAAAGGTTCGATTAAAGCTGTACGTTACTGTTTCTTCTCGCCATCTCTGGTCTCTCACTGATATATTTGTGCAGACACACAAAACTAAATTTCTTTAATCAGATTTATTAGAATGTATGTATAATTATACATAATAGACATTTATATAAGTATTTATATGTGTATATAATGGGGATATATAATTATGTAATTATAAGTATAGATAATGATATATATAATTAATATAAGTATATATAACTTAGATATATAATTATATAATTTTATATATAATCTCATACCATTTTAAGTATAGTTTTGATAAATATATACACAATATATTCATATATATGTACACACACAGACTCAAGAGACAACAACTGCAATCTAGATAACATTATTACTTCAAAAACTTCCTTTTTTTTCTGTTGTAAATTGTGCAATTCCCATTCCAAGATTTAGTCAACATGGATCTGCTATATTCATGCAGATTAACTCTTGTAAATCTCAGTTCTTTTTCTGTCACTTCCTTTCCTTACTCAAACACTTGCAGGGGCTTCTCAGTCTGAAGCAAGGTGGAACTTTCCGATTCAGGGCTTGTCATTTGTACAGCACATTCCAGTAAAGGAACAACAGAGGTGCTGGCCCTCCTTAGGATTCCCTGCCTGCCATCAGGACTACAATTAGGGAAGCAAAGCTCACCCTCAAGTTTAGCTCCTGTTAGAGACCTAAAAATAAAGTAGATGAAACAAAATAGAAATGAATTTATGTTTCAGAAAACACATGTGTGAGCTACCCTAACCATGCAGCCCGAGCTTGGTGAGGCTCTGTTCCTCTGTCTCCCGCAGTCTGCTCTGCTGTGGTCTTTGTCCACTCCCATGATTCCAAACACACACTACTTCCATATTTCAGTCAGCTTGCCTCTTCCCTTTCAGGACACACCCTGAAGCACAGCTCACTTCCACTGTACAGCTACGTAGCTCTACTTAGGGCTACACACAATGCATTACAAATTGTTCTGGGCATTTGTGAGTTGAGTTAAACCAGGACGTTCGACTACCACCGAATAAAGGTTAAATTGGTATTGACATGGATTAATAAATCTCTGCCTCACTGCTCAGTGTCTGCAGAATAAAATCTATAATCTGAACCTACTTTTCCAAACATATTCCCTAACATTGTCCTTGCCACCTGGGCCAATTAAGGATGCTTCAATGCCTATAAATTCCGATGTCTCCTTTGCTTTCTTGACTTTGCTTACATGAAGGACTTCCCTGATACCTCATCCCCACAGAGTGAATTTGTGCTCAACCGGCAAATCCCTCTCAGTAGCTAGTTCTTAGTGGAAGCCTCTTCCATGGCTTCAGAGGCCTATAGCAGTCTTCTTAGTCCAGAATTTATTTTTGCAATGATATCTATGTTGGTAAATTTTCTATTTTTTATAATATTAATATACAATTATATTAAGTAGCTTTGTTTCTTCGCTTGTGTATCTGATTTCTCTTAAGAATAAATGTTTTGTTCCACCATTTCTTTCACTCAGCATTCTGCAAAGATAGGTCTACTAGGCAATATTTCTTATATAACAGTTGCATATCTAGTCACTGTGTGTAGAAATTAATATATACATGAACAATGAATGAGTCAGTTAAATGAGTGAAAAACCATTATCTCAAACGACTCCTATCAGGATAAACACATGCAGAGGAAGCCATTTATTTTTCTTGACTCGGACAGAGGACACCAGGCTATCACTGGCTAAGTACTCATTTAACTATAAATGGATGTAGATTGGATTTGCAGGATGTGTATAAAGCTCAGTCAAGTCTTATAAACGTCTGAGTGAACTCTCAAATTGTACTTGTGGTCTAATAATATAAGTGTTGTAGATTTATAAAATGCTTTTAAGCCTAACTCCAGACCCTTTAACTTTCAATATTCTTTCATTTGACTGCTACCATGCAGAGTAAAAGCTAAGTGTGCATCTCTAAAGAAATCCCTAGACAGTGGAAATCTAGAGGATACCATGCTGACTTTGCAATTTCTACATGACTCTAGAAATTAACTTCAAAAATGTGGCATCCAAAATATCTATGCAAGTGAATCAAACAGTGTCTCACTTACTCTTCACATAATCCCATTAAGATCATTTTTATAAAAAAAGAATGTTAAGGCACATGCTTAAAATTACATAGCAAGTAAGCAATGTTGGTGG